ATAGGAGTAGGAAAGACAACATTAGCCCTAAAACTCAAAGAATACCTTATGAAAATAGGACATAAAGTATTCCTAATGGAAGAAATAACCTTACAACACAAAGATTGGTTATCTATAATGTATTCAGACCTTGATAAATACTTAGTAGCATTCCAAATATTAGTCATAACCCAATAGAATATTAACTACCAGAAACTTAAAAGACTAGAACTTGAAGGAGTAATAGACGAAAACACTATTATAATCTGTGATCGAACAGCAGTAGAAACACAAGTCTTCACTAAAAGAAATGTAAAAAAAGATGAAGCAGTAACAGCACTTGGAAAACTGCTTGAACAAACTGAAACACAAATATTTAAAGATACATACTATCAACTATACATCAAATGTGAAAAGGAAGAAATGATTCAAAGACAAGCTAAAAGAAAGCGACAAGAAGAAAGAAATATAGATAAACAATATCTATATGACATATACGATATGTATGAAAAAATGATAAAAGAAGTATACCCAAAATATATTGAAATATCAACAAACATATTGAACCCAGAAAATATGTTTAGATCATTATTTATACACGAAGCAAAAGGATTAAGGAGACCAGAGGAATTGACTTTCCTTAAAGAAATACAGATCGATATTCAAAAACCAACAAAATGACAGTATACAATTGTAACAATTTTCTGAGAAGGAGAATTAATAACACAACCGATTCAAACCCTAGCAGCTAAACGATCAAGAAATGCTAAAATATACCCCGAACAATACACAAGATTCGGAGGACATCTAGAAGAATATGATAAAACATATTGGAATTGCATAATTAGAGAAACACAAGAAGAACTAGGATTCCAACTAAAACCAGAAAAACTACAGTTCATATGAACACATGATTATTTATCTAAAAACAGATCAGGAACAGATCCTATTACCAGTACTGATAAAAATGAATCTTTTGAACCAATATATTATATAGAAATAGCAATGTATTTATATTTAGCATTACCACACGAATGGGATAACATCAAACACAAAGAACCTGAAAACATGAGTAAACCTCAATGGATGACGAAAAACCAAATAGACCATCAAATATGGACACCATCCATTCAATATTACAAAGACCAAATATTTGACGAGTATATACCACAATATCTTGAAGAATGGACCAATTATGGAAAGATCACCAACAATCTATTCCAACAACAATTTCCAGATAAAGAAATTCCAAATGAATACAAAACACCATATGACGGTGACAAACAAGAGATTACGGCAGAAAAGCCTAATCACCTGTGAACGCTTTATCACACTTCACCGCCAAGGGCCCGAGCACAGCTTCCGGTGCACATGGTATCAAAACTTTGAAAATTTCCGATCACGCCCGTTACACATAATGCTCGTCACACTTACAGAAGAATGCGATCAAATCTTAGAATTACTATAATCGGCAACCCGATTATCAAATTTATCAAAACATTATTAATCTCATATTATTAACCTTCGCTTATAAATATATCTTTTACAAATTAACATTATTAATTAGCTAATTAATCATATTAGTCATATATTAGTCATAGCTTACAAATAGCTAGTCATATTAGTAATTTAGCTTAGTAATCTTTATAGCATAGTCTTCTTGAATGTATTTAAACAATAGCTTTTGACCTTTTAACTTTAGCAATTTAATTTTAAATCTAGTTATTCGATTTTAGATTTAGCTCAGCGGGTTTATATCTTGCAAAAGCCCTAGCGGGTTTTATCCCTCAAAGCGATTTTAAATCCAGCAAAGCAATTTTAGATTTAGCTCACCCTTAATAACATAGCCCCTAGATAGCTCTAACTCCTCACAACAGAAAAGAAATAATCCTCAATGACCCAACACAATGAGATGTGTTAACTACAATGCTCTCATAAGAACACTTAGAAATAATGAGCGATAGAATAGCTCAAACAAAACTGATAGTAGTTTACCCCTTCTACTATAAAGAACTCTCAAATCTGAACCATTAATTTGGCACTCAGATACGAGCAACTAAACATACAAAGACATTAAGAAGAGCAATGCACCCAACAACAAAACTAATTTATCAAGAGCCAAAAGAAGTTTATGAAGAATTGTTCTAAGGAAAAAAGAAACATAATGTGCCCAACCAAGAAAAGAAACACTCAAAAGAATAAATGCCTAAACACTTATAAAAAGTGGCAGGAAGAATTAATAATCAAAAACCCTGCGAAGGCATCTAACAAAAAGAATAATACAAAAGAAGAATGATTAATCAAACAATAAGTGCCCAACATACAATGGTTATCTAAAACCAAACCATACCAATGATGTGATAGTGATCTGACAAACCTCATATGCCCAAAGGCATCCAATGAGACTACAGAAGTCTAGACATGGCATTAAATAATATTAAAGAACAATAATATTATTGTTGCCTCTTCACAATCAATATTGAACAATAGGCACTCACACAAACTCTTTTACCCAAAAGAGAAATTATCATAATATGTGAACCTGAAGATTGTTCACAAAAAAACAATATAATAGAGATGGCGCTCTACAATATAATAAAATCATATTATATTTGCACAATATAAAAGGGACGCCATAGAAACAAAAGACATTCAGGAACTAAAGAGCTAAAAAAAATATTATTAAATATAATTAGTATAGTACTTCACTAAATAAATTTAATAAAAACCAATTTATTAAATACAAACCTTGTACAAGTAAATAGTATAATCCTATAATCCTTCTACATAAACACAAACAGTAAATAATCTGATGCCAAAGTAATAAAAGCTTAGATAGCTTAATGCCCAAGTAGAGGCATAGTAGTAACCAAGTAGTACCTCAGAGACTTTATCCATCTCTGAATAAAATTAACAAAACCATTCCACAAGAAAGAGCATGGCCTAGCCCACCGTGAAAAAGAAATTAGTAGCACAAAAGGCGCTTACCACTAAAAACCACATCCATACTAACAAACTTATAACATAAAGGAATACAGAAAAGAAATAAACTATACAACTATCCAAACCAAACTCACCAAGCAAATGTATTGCAAAATGAATAGAGCTTAAACAACTCTTAAGCAAGTACGATTGAAGGAAAGCTTACTCTAATTCAG